TGACAACTGCATTTTTGAATGAATGAATGAATTCAATCTTTGAAGTGCTCCCCCTCCTGGCCCATGACAAAAAGCAACTACCGTATTTTTTGCACCATAACACTCACTTTTTTCCTCCTAGAAAGTAAGGGGAAACATCTGTGCGTGTTATGGAGGGAATATGCCTACGGGTGGCATTCCTATGGATTTTCCTCCTCTAAAAACTACGTGCGTGTTATGGTCGGGTGCGTGTTATAGAGCGAAAAATACGATGTTTTTTAAAAAAATTAAGGAGAGCCCTGTTGGTTCAGACCAAAGTCCTTGTGCAGCTTAGCAGCATGTATCACACAGAAGCCTATGGGTTACCCAGGAGGAGGACACAAGAACGTGCTGTTCTTCCCCTGCAACTGGTGATTCAGAATCATGACGCTTCGGATTCTGGCAGTAACATATAACCAGAATGACTAGTAGCCATTGATAGCTTATCAGTCATGAATTTATCTAATCTCCCTTTAAGGTCAGTAGCATCTTATGGTAATAAATCTGGCTCTCTGTCTGCCTGTCTCATTCATATGTATGTGTGTGATTTGGGGGGGAGGAGGTGGGTGGATGAGCAAAATAAAACACTGAAAATGGTGGAGGTAGCAAGCCAGTTTCCCACAAATTAATCAGAAGAATGGTGCCAGTACATTTTTGCCACATATCTCAGGTTCTACAAACACTGGAAACTTTGGGCCATATCCAACCAACTTGTACTCATAGTAGACTCGTTGAAAACGACGAGCCTAAGTTAGCCATGTATATTCATGGGTAGGACTAGCGTTAGATAGAATCATAGGATCGTAGAGTTGGAAGAGATCCCAATGGCCATCTACTTTAACCTCCTCCATGGCAGGAATCCTGGGTGGGCTCAAACCACCAATGTTCTGATTGACAGCCAAACACACTGCCCCACTGATAACGCTGTGTGTGTGTGTGTGTGTGTGTGTGTGTGTTTAAAAAATAAAGGTAGGAGTCCGTGGGTTGTCGTTCGTCCAGAGTGGATAGGTCTTCCTTCCCTTGCTCCCCACAGACACGTGTGTGTGTGTGTGTGTGTGTGTGTGTGTGTGACACAGTGCTCTCATCACCTCCTATCTCACCTATTACCTGTTTCTTTTGCATCAGGAGAGAGGGATGGGGGAAGGGGAAGGGCGAACACTTGTGTAAGGGGGAATTGCAGTTAAGCACACGCTCACTGATCTTCTGGATAAGAAGCCAGAGCAACCCCCAGGCTCCTGTTCATCAGACAGCAACTTCCCCCTTTCCTTTCCTTTGCAATATAGTGGTGGATTTCCACCGCACGGAAATTAACTTGATGGGTAGAGCCTAAAGGCGCTCACTACCGTTAACCTCAAACATCAAAGGATGTGTACAGCTTCAGGAGGTTCGTTATTGTTCTGTAATTCATTAAGAGCCCTTGTCTGGGTTCTTCTTGCCCCAGTAATGGTGGCTTCTTCTCACCGCTCAGTGTTTACACTGTGTAATAAAAAAACAAACAGCAACAGGAACAGACTACCCAGCCCACCCAAGCGCCCAGAAGATCTCGTTTTAGCATTATAAGAGAGGGAGGAAAACTTCTGTCTACTTTCTATGCCATGATATAAGAAGTATGTTTGAGTGGATCTTTTTTCCTGGATTAGATGATCCTCTTAGTGACCAGTGGTGTCCAAACTATTTGAGCTTTTTTACGATTTTACCCCAAAGTTGTTGAGGTTTTTTTAGGATTGAAGTTGTTGAGGTTTTTTTTCCTGGATTTTACTCCAGGAAATAAATTGCCACAGGGTCCGGATTAAACCGATCCAGCCCAATCGCCTTCTAAATCCGGCCTGCAGGTATCAGCGTGTTTTTCAATGAGTTGGGCCTGCCTGGTGTTTGTACATGAGTAGGATGTGTCCTTTTATTTAAAATGCATCTCTGGGTTATTTGTGGGGCATAGGAATCCGTTCATATTTCCCCCCCAAAATATAGTCCAGCCCCCCACAAGGTCTGAGGGACAGTGGACCGGCCCCCTGCTGAAAAAGTCTGCTGGCCCCTGTCTTAGTCCCTTCCAACACTACAGTTTTATGATTCTATGATATTGCATTTATACCCCCTCCAAAAAAATCGCATTGCATTTCCTTCACATTGAAATGAATGGGGTGCAAGAATGCAACGACAACCTATTTTACATGATGATGCAAATTACTTAAACTGACACAGCAGATGGTGATGCAAAGAGTGTCGTTTTCAGTGGAAGGTTAACTGCAGCAGAATGGGAACAGTGTTGCATGAGGTAAATACAGAACAGACTAGAAAATGATGCATCCTTATCTCCCTAGTGACGCAGCATGCAATTCAGAGAAGGGCACCTCATGATTACAAAGCTGAGCAAATCCCTTCCATCCATCGCCACCTCAGTGTCTCTAGATTCAGGGCCAAAGTGCAGGCACTTGGCTCTGCAAGTTACTCATTTCAGAAACTCGCTAGTGATAAGATCTTCCTTCCAGACATGAACCTACTGCCGTTCTCTCTCCTGCCCCCGAGTCTCTACAGAGTTTTGCAAAAAGAGGAGATGAGCAGAGTCACGCAGACCACATTGTGCACAGCTGCTATCCTAAATCATACTTTAAAGGGGGAAAAGAACAAAAGCAGCAGGAGAAACCATCCCCATAATCCCAAACAGACAGCTGGAGCTAGAAATCAGAGTTGGCAAGCACTAAAAAAGCTCTTCTTCAAATGCTGCCTGCCCTGCCTCCCAAACGTCTGTGCTGGGAAAGCCGTTTTCCCTGAGATCATAGAGAGCCACATCATTCAACATTCCTCAAAGGGAAACAGGGGCGTGCTTGCAGCATCCTGGACTAAGGATCATTACACAAGCTCACCACTCCATAGTTTCATGGAAGTGGGACCTTAACAAAAGGGGGCAGCACAGAGTGCTGACATTCAAGGTCCTAACCAGTCAGTGTGCCCATTTCCAGGAGACTCCATTCCACCACTACTACTTTTCCTCTTTGCTTGCAACGATCAGGCAGCAACTCCCATCAACCCCAGAAAGTGTGGGGTGATAGGATTCAGAGTCCAGCCACATCTGAAAGGCCACAGGCTCCCCACCCCCATTTTTAATGCATGCAGTATAGACCTATTTTCACCTTCTAAACATGTCCGCTGGACATCTGTGAGCCTTTGTGGATGGTCTTGCTGGCCCTGGCCCTGATCTCCCCTCTGTAGTTGCTGTATTTGGGGCCAGGGAAGAATTTGCCTGCAGACAGATTGGGCTGGACCGGGTTTTTTGCCTACCTCATAGAAACAGTCACAACTTGCTGGTGGAAAAAGGCAGTGGGTCACATCCTTAGTCTAATAGAAAGTTTGGCTGGGTAAGGAGCTCCACACACCCCTCTTTATAATCAAAGTAAGAAAAGGGGAATCTCAGATCAACTTGCTGAGAAATATCCAGCACAGTCTTTCGTTCTTGTACTTGAATCAGAAGACAGGCGTAGGACCTATCAAAGTCCACCTGAAACGTGATGTCTAGCTGCCACTGTTGCTACTATTCCTCAGAGGCCACAGAGGTAAAATACTACCTTACTGGCAAAATAGATGCTTGGGGAAAGGACAGCAATAGGAGCAACTCAGGGTGGAACGGGTCTTTGACAGTCCAGTGGAGAATCCCTCCTTGCCCATTCCTAAGGATGGAACCACACACTGCACAATTCTCATGGGCTCTGCAAAGGGGATCAAGGAGAACTGTTCAAATGCCACAAGCGGCCTCAGGGCAAAGTTGTTTCTTCAGCTGGGACTATCTCATAAGCATGTGATAACTGAATGAAGGGCCCTTGTCAATGCAGCCACAATAGACCTCTGTCTGGAGTTCAGCTTGGAGGAAGCTCAAAGGCTTTCATTAGCTCCACTTCAAAAGATCCGGTGGCTAAATCACAGATGCAGGAGTCCGCTATGGAGCTGCCAGAGCCAAGGGTTCAGGGTGTCGCTCACAGCCTCTGCAGCGACAGGAGCAATAGGAAGGCTTCTCCACATTTGACAGGTGGAAATAGATCGCCTTGTTTGATGACACACTTCTGCTGTGTCCAGAAAGCAAGGGTCCAAGCGATTTCCCTTTTGCCCTACTCCATTCCAAGGGGAAACCCACTGTTTACAAGAGAGCAGAACTAATGGCAATCCAGGGAAATATAATTTGCTGTTTGCTCCAATTGGGTGCTAAAGTATGGTTCCCCGAGGAATGCAAAAAGCAGTTTCCCCCACTCTCCATGCGGAAGATCCCAGGTTCAATTCTACCATCCCCAGGCACGGCTGGGAGAGAACATCTTTGCATACAGTGCTCTGGAGGGTTACTGCCAGCCAGAGCGGACAATGCTGAGCTAAATGGACCAGTGGTCTGAGGTTAAGGCATTCAGGTCCCAGACCATTTTGGGCTTGAATGGAGCTCAGGAACAAACAAGCAACTAGTGTAGCTCACTCAAAATTGGCACAGTAGCGTCAAAACTCCTTGCGCCCATCAGTATCCTGGTTGCAATATTTTGCCCCATGTAGCATTTCAAAGCAATTTAAGGCAGCTCCATACATTAGATTAAACATGGATGTACAAGTAACATAAGCATCTCTCTGAACACCCATACACAAGCACCTGTCTGAACCAGCAGAGCTCACAACAGCCACATCAAGACTTGAGTACGCACTCTCTGACAGCCTTCCTCACCCCTCCAGATGTTGTTGGGACTCCCAACTCCAGTCACCTTGGGCCATGCAGACAGGGAATGATGGGAGTTGGAGTCCCAACAGTGACTTGAGGACACCAGGTCAGGGAAGGCAGCTCTGTGGGAAACTCTGATATAACCCCTGTGTCCATACAGAAAACATGCTTGCTGTGTTAATGGTGGCACTGCCCTGTGTTTTCAATGGATCTGACTCCACTGGGGTTAAAACAGCAGTCTGGAAATTTAGCAGTCCCTGCTTAAGCATGGGGGGGGGGTATGGTTGCATCTTTGGAAGGGCAATGTCTCACTGGGAGAGCATCTGTTTTGTGTGCAGAAGGTCCCAGGTCCAAGCCCTGCCATCTCCAGCTAGGGTGGGAAAAGACCTCTGCCTGAGATCCTGGACAGCTGCTGCCAGACAGTGTAGGAAATACTGAGCTAGATGGACTCATGGCCTGATTTGGTATAAGGCAGGATCCTATGCTCATAAGGAAAGGAGGAATGTCATGGATCAGCTGGCGGGGTGGGGGGTGGGACAAACCCTCAGCTTCTTTGTAAACTTCTGGCTGCTGAATTTATTGCATGCATCTGGAAGGAGCAGCTGGGAAAGGATTCATGAATTCAGCAGATGCAGGAAGGAAATCTATCCAGATTTTACAGGGAAGCAAGCAGGAGAAGGGGGTGGTTCTGCTGATATATGTTGGTTTCTTCTCTCTGCATAGTGACGATTGTATCAAATCCACCTGGCTTTGGAATGAGTTCTCTTTTTCTTTTCTTTTTTGAGGAGATATCAACCACCCCCGCAAAGAAATAATAAAAGACGGGGAAAGGAGGGATTTTGATCTCAGTGGAAAGCAGAGAATTCTTTGCAGCATCGTTTTTGTCTCATCCCCCTGGTACATGATGGACAGGGGCAATGGCAAAGCAACCCCCAAATGTAGCAGGGCTGAATTAGCACATTTTTGAGTAAGTGAAGCAATATATGTGGCCACTAAAGAACAACTTGTCCTAGAACTAGCTATCTGCACCACTAGTGATGAGTATCACTAATAGAAATGGGGGAAGGAATTCAATTAAGTTTGCTGTTAAAGGCGAAATCTGCACTTTCCAAAATAGTATTACAAACTGAAACGCAGCAGCCCTTCAATATTCACACATCTGTGAATTCTGCAATGCGTTTCTCCAGTCAAGTAAAGTGTACAAAAACGCACGTGCTAGGGTAAAGCATGCCTAGAAATGCATATTGGTGGGAAATGCTTTGCACAAAAAGTGTGTATTAGGCAAAATTGCATGCAAATTTTAGGAGAGATTTGCATGAAAATGCTGACAAATTTTCATGATGATTATATATTATATTATGAAAAATGTCTGCAGAAACATAAAGAACTGACTTTAAGATGAAAGGAGCAAACCAAAATTGACACAGCTACTCATCCTGAATTACTAATATGTTTTTATGACAATGGTGTTGAAGATGATTACATTTTTAACAATACATAGTGAAATGTAAAACAAGCATAAAATATAAAATACCGGTACTAACTAACCAAATAAAAATAAAATAAAATGAACAGTCGCGATATGAGTAATCACAGGATGGATTTTTATGAGAGCTATTTAAATAAATTGCCAACTGATGTGAAAATGGGGAGAAATGATCTAAAGAACAGAAAAATGATAAACAGAAAGAAAGTTAGACTGACTGACAGACTAGCCTGTCTCTCTACGCAGCAAGATTTCGTTAGCGGCCAGACTTGTAATGACTATCCCCAACAGCCAAAATATCTCCCTCTGTCCTACTGATCCCAAACACTGTCACAAACACAGAGCTGCTGAGCCAAGCAGAGCCAGGCGGTGGCCAAGGCATTGCAGCAGCAGGTTGCCGTGTTTACTGAAGCAAACGGTGGGTTAGGACCGACCTCAAGAGCTCAGGCTAAGTGGCTTTTTCCTTGCGTCCGACTCAGTGGCCCAGTGCCACGTCTCAGAAAGCTGATGCTATCGCTGCCAACTACTTCTGCAGCCAACAACAGAAAGCACCCAAATGGAAAATGCAATGCAGATGTCCTCCTAGATCTAGTGGGGGAAGCAAATGCAAACTCTGAGAGCCCAATGTAAGTCAGGACTGTGCACAGAAGGTACTGTGGATTCTTTCCCTCTGAAACCATTCCATCTTCTTCCAATGTTTGCCATGTCAATGACCAACATACATATGCTATCCTGCTTCAGGTGAGCTGCCTGACTTTTTCATTTATTTATTTTTAAGTGTTCCATATGATAGGAAAAGGGCTGATCTCATGAAACAACCTGCCACACATCAATAGACCAGCTAATGTTCCTGGAAGGTCTTCAAAGGATGCCACTGGGGCATGAGTCAAAGGGTACAATGGGCACATGACACTGGACAAATAAACTCCTGGCCCATGCTGCCACCTGGGCATCCAGAAGCAGGGCTGGATTCAGGAACAGCCCCCAAGTGACAAACCCATTTTAAAAAAAATGCTTTTAAAATTAAATTTGAAAAATATGAGGGTAGATTGGCACTGCAAACTGTTCAAAAGAGATAGTCTTTCAGTACTATACATAGCTCAATTCAAAGAAGAAGAGGATTAAGAAGAAATGTATACAGCTTAAGCATCAGAGTCCTTTTTATCTCTTTTATCTTTTTTTACAGGGTTCAGTAAGTACAGTTGGAAATACTTGTGGCATAGACTCACATAAGGTCTAATATTGCTAGGAAGAATTCCATATACCCACATGCCTAGCTGGGGTTGCTGGCACTTCAATTCCTTCATTGATAAATTTAATAAAATCAAACCATGTAAAATAAAATGGTTTTTTTTTTGGTCACACTTTTGGTCACACCCTCTTGGGTTAACAGATAGGGTTTTTTTGTTTTATTTTTTAAAAGACCTTATTGTACCAATATTCTAAAGTGGCATTTCCCGAATACTTCCAGATTCATGTAGCAGTTAATCTTGGCACTAATAACAGGAAGCTGATTAAATCTTTACTGTTGCAGTCATTTTGCCCGTCGCAGATATTTGTAAGCTATTGGAATGGAATCAGTGATGGCTGTTGTTCTTTTTTCCAATCAAGTGTTATACAAATTTTGTGAAATAAATAAGTAATTTTGGTGTAAACTTGATCCTTAAGAGACAGCGTAACCCCATCCAAAGGAAGCTGGGAATTCACTCTGCTTTGCATCCTCTTTGAATGTTTCTGCCTGTTCCCCACCCTGACCTAACAATGCACCAGTTCTGGAAGGGAGGAGGGTGTAAGAGGCCTCCCTCATTTTCTTCCTCTCTGCTGTTTTCTGGTGCCACTGCCAGAACAGCACCATCCAGGTGAGCAAGTGAGGAGGAAAGATGGGGATGGAAGACCATGGATGGGTGTAGGTTTGTGGGCTGGCTGGGACAAAAGAGTTAACTTATTTTGCATTAAAATGTGCATCAGCAAGGAATTATGGGTTTGTAATTCTTATCTTGCAGAGCCCCTCTTGAGAATTATGTATTTCTGAGCACAAGTAGATTTGGGTTTAGCAACTCCTTCGTGTTTGCTACAGCAGAAGAGGCTCTGTTTCAAGCATGCAATACTGGAAGACAGCTGCCCTGAAATGAAACAATGCTAAGAAGTCAGTTTAAAATAATTACTGGCAAGGATGTTGGGTGTGGCAAAGGTTGAGTAGCCCTACAATCACCACCCTTTACCTGGTGAAGGTAATAGTCAGTGCATTCAAGACTCCAGATGAAAGCTCTGAGCCTCTTATCGATCTCTGGATGGTATTCCTCAGCCTCTTCCAGATCTGGAGATGGAGTTCCTTAGCCTTTTCTAGATCTCAATACAATCTCTTATCCTCCTCCAGATCTCAGCCTCTTGTAGACTCATTTTGCCACGCAAACCTGAACCCTTACAGAAAAGGGCAGTGAGGTGCACCCCTGTTTTGTCAAGGGCTGGAGATGGATGAAAGCATCCAGCTGCAAAGAAAAAACCATATCCATTGCATACGCAGTGAGACCCTGCCAACACATATGCTCGGCAAGGAGTCAACCCACAGCAGCCCAGAACAAAGCTTATCCTGTTCCCTTGCAGATTAAGACTCATTTCCTTTGCGACAAATAAAGGCCTTCCCACCCACCTTGCTTCTGCCTGAAGTTGGATGGTAGACTTCAGCTAGCTGAAGGCCTCCTTTGTCTTCTGGGGACTGTTGCCTCATTGACCTACCGAGCCACAGCTGCCAGCAAAAGAGCAATTTTAACAGCAGGTGGGTTTGGGTTGTTGGGTGTTGTTGTTGTTTTTTTACAAGGAAGGTTACAATTCTCTAAGGAGAAAAGTATCCAGGCACTGCTGGTTTTACTAAGTTGCTTATCAGCAGGCCCACCTAAAAGGCATTTAAAAAGTGGGACGCTGCAGCCCCTTAGAGAAATGAAAGACAAAATGGTGTGCTGTGATCCACAGTTCCTCAGCCAGCGTATCACCAAGCAGATCTCCATCTCCACTGCAACTTGGAGGAGACTTAGCGTGAGCATGGAGGCTCTCAGGGAGTAAAGTGCACCTGTTTTGCTTCTCTCTGGTTCTTTTGGCTTAGTGTGGAATTGCAGCTAAGCCAAGGTTTGTTCTTGGTTAAGGAGTCTAGAGCTTAACTAGACTCAGACAACATAGTAAGCCAAACCTTTGCTTAGCTGCTGTGCCAAAATGGGCTTGGGATGAGCAAAAGTGAGTGCAAGCTGGTCTCTATGGATCAAGAGTTTTATGCAGTCTTGGAAAGCCACAACTTGTCTTACAACAATGCGTGAAGCAGGCCACTGAGGAGACTCACTTCTGAGTAGAGATACATAAGTTTGCACCGCTAGTCGCAGATGTGGAAAGAAATGCTGTAGTTATGAAAAACAACTTTAGGAAGAGATGTTTTAATTGCTGGCATCCTCCCTAAGGGAGCAATAACATGCCCAAGAATATTAGAAATGAAACAGAAATAGTTTGCTTTCTATAATTTACTGCTGCCTTCCCCAACCTGGAGAAGCACAGCAGCAGAGATTCCTGGGGGCTGACAGGAGTTGTAGTCCAAAACAGCTGGAGGGGATCAGGTTAGGGAAGGCTGGTTTACCGAGATCTGACAGAAAACAGATCCCCTGCATTTTGCAGATGCTACATTCCATTTTGAAGAAAAACTGTCTGGCAATCTGTTATTTAATTTCATTGGAGGTAGTCATGCTTAAATGTTCTGATGCCTGTTTATTTTACTTATTGACAGAACTTTTTTTTTCTTCTTCAAGTAAGCTATGGATGTGGAGACCTCTTAAGATACTGTAACCACATTTTGCATGGTGGTTCCTGAGTTCAAGGAGCAGATTTTCATCTGTGTTTTGAT